AATTTGGGTTTAATCACACAGCGGGTTCAAGAGTTGTTGGGATGCACATACACACCCAGCTTTATCACAGTGCCCTTGTATCCTTAGGAATACGGCCTAAATAAACCGAAAAATAACAAATTGCCTACAACTCCGCGCAGTTCACAGCTAAACCAAACGGCACCTTTTGTTGTCAAAAACCCTCCATCCCGTACCCAGAGCTGTGCTGAGCTCCAGGACAGGTTCCCACTCGACCTTCCCATCTGGGAAGCAACCAGAGCTGAGAGGTTTCAGGGTGAGAACAAGTGCGAGAGCAACGGGAGAGCCCCACCTTCCTGCCTACCGTTACAAGGTTACTGCTTGTGGCGTTTGGATTGGAAACTGCCCAAATATCTGGTGCCATCTTTGGAATACATTATACAAGCTCTAGAACGAGGATGAGCAAGAGCCTGGCAGGCAGTAATACTCGCTCCCAAGGAAGAGGAAGAACTTGTTGAAGCAGTGCCAGCATTTCTAACAATACAGGAGCACATTGCTCAGGGTACCAAAGGCTATCGACACGCCGGGTTTAACCAGGTGATCCTTTAAAGAGGCAGAGCAGCCAAATGGGTGGGCACTGACAGGAAGGAGGATTGCTAAGGGCAGCTTTAGTATGAACATCTTAACTTGACCGTTGATGGGGACAGAGAAGCCTGCTCCCCTCTACATTTACCAGTGCCTCCGAGGCACAGCCGAAGACCCCGAGGGCAGGATTAGAGCCAGGCACCACGGAGCTCTGCTGCCAAATGCCCCAGCAATACAAAGAGGCCCCAGATGGTAGCACAGGGACCCGCAGTTCCAGGGCAGGTGGGATGTGAGATGCCATCCCCGCTCAAGCACCCAGGCAAGGAGAGACTGGTCTGTCCCCAGGAAAACCCCGGGACACGGAGGAACACCGGGGTCTGCCCCCAGGCCCAAACCCAGGAGAGCCCTGAGGCCCAGGGGTCAGTGACCACCTCCAGGCTACCGGGAACGAGTCAAGCGTCTGTGCCGCGCTACGAGCACCGGCCCCATGCCCGCTCCCCGCCCGGGCGGCCCCCCCAACAGACACCGGAGCAGGGCAGCGGGGGTTCCGGGGAAAGACTCAGGGGAGCCCGCGGGGATGGCAGAGA